ACAAATGCTACGGCAAAAGGGAGGAACCCGGATGTCAGGACTGTGGGGACTTAACTACAAGTCCCCACCCAGTGAGGGGATACACGGCCCCAATGAGCGAAACAGAGCTGAACGAGACAGCTGCTGACCTGAGAGAGAGAATCATGACCCGAATGACAACCAGGCCTCCCCGGCGCCAATTACAACGGCTGAGTGAAGTACCATCTGAAAGTCTCATTGAGAATGTGAATGCAGCATTGAGAACGATCCCTACCAACACCATAACAGAAACCAATGAGCTGATCTACAACTCAGCATCAGTGATCCTTGAGATACTTGGCTATAAGAGCAACCATGAGACCCAATACCCACCATGGAAAAGACGGTTAGAGGCTAAAATCAAGGTAACAAGGAGGGAAGTGAGCCAACTGTCAGAGCTCCACAAGGGTGCAATGAAAAGACCAGTACCCAGAAAGTACAGGCAGATGCCCATACCTGAAGCACTCGAGACTGCCAAACAGAGGCTCCAAGCCTTGTCCAGCTGCCTAAAGAGATACACAAGGGAGAATGAATCCAGAAGGATTAACCGGCTCTTCTCCACTCAACCAGCTAAGGTGTACTCTCAATGGCAGGGTAATAACAACAGAGCAGACCCACCAAGGCTGGAGACTGAACAATACTGGAAAGGCATATGGGAAAGGGAGGCGTCCCACAACAGCAATGCACAGTGGCTGATCTCTCTACGAGAGGACCACAGCAACCTCCCTGAGCAAGCCCCGGTAACCATCACTGTGACAGATGTTCAAGAAAGAGTCTCAGGTATGAAAAACTGGACAGCACCAGGGCCTGACATGATCCATGCCTACTGGCTAAAGAAACTCACTGCTCTCCATGAGCGAATGGCAGCCCAAATGAACCAGCTGCTACAAAGTGGGACTCACCCTGAATGGTTAACTGAAGGGCGGACAATCCTAATCCAGAAGGATCCATCAAAGGGTCCAGTCCCACCCAACTACCGACCAATAACCTGCCTCTCCACAACCTGGAAGCTCATGTCAGGCATCATAGCGGCCAAGATAAGCAAACACATGGATAAACACATGAGCACGGCACAGAAGGGTATCGGTGTAAATAGCAGAGGAGCCAAACACCAACTCCTCGTAGACCGCACAGTTGCCCGAGACTGCAAAACCCGACACACCAACCTGTGCATGGCTTGGATTGATTACAAGAAAGCCTATGACTCAATGCCGCATACTTGGATCATTGAATGCTTAGAGATGTATAACATCAACAGGACTCTGAGAGCCTTCATTGCAAACTCGATGAGGCTGTGGAAAACCACCCTTGAAGCCAACTGCAAACCACTTGCACAAGTGTCCATCAAATGTGGCATATACCAAGGAGATGCTCTGTCCCCGCTACTGTTCTGCATAGGCCTGAACCCCCTCAGCCAAGTCATCAACAAGACTGGCTACGGATACAGACTCAAAAATGGGGCCAATATCAGTCACCTACTCTACATGGATGACATCAAGCTGTATGCCAAGAGTGAGCGAGACATCGACTCACTGATCCACACCACCAGGATCTACAGCAATGACATTGGGATGTCATTCGGACTAGAGAAGTGTGGTCGGCTGGTCACAAAGAGGGGGAAGGTCATCCACACAGAAGGGGTCTCACTCCCAGAAGGAACAATAGCAGACATAGAGGACAGTTACAAGTACCTAGGTATACACAAGCAAATGGCAACCTCGATGAGGTCACAAGGAAAGGAGCCACAGCTAAATACCTCCAACGAATAAGGCAAGTCCTGAGAAGCCAGCTCAATGGCAAGAACAAAATCTGTGCGATAAACAGCTATGCCTTGCCAGTAATCAGATACCCTGCTGGAATAATTAGCTGGCCAAAGGAGGAGATAAAAGCCACAGATATTAAGACCAGAAAGCTACTAACAATGCATGGAGGGTTCCATCCCAAATCCAGCACCCTGAGACTGTACACGAGCCGCAAGGAAGGAGGCAGAGGACTAGTGAGTGTGAGAACCACTGTCCAGGACGAAACAACTAAGATCCATAAATACATCAGGGACAAAGCCTCAACAGACAATGTGCTCAGTGAATGTCTCAGACAACAGGGAACGGAGGTTGAGGTGCCAGAGATACCATCATGGGAGGACAAACCCCTACATGGGATGTACCACCAGCAAATAACCCAAGTGGCTGATATCAGTAAATCCTACCAATGGCTGGAAAAAGCTGGACTCAAGGACAGCACAGAGGCCCTCATCCTGGCAGCCCAGGAACAGGCCCTAAACACCAGAGCAATAGAGGCCCAGATCTACCACACCAGACAAGACCCAAGGTGTAGGTTGTGCAAGGAGGCCCTGAGACAGTCCAGCACATCACAGCAGGGTGCAAGATACTGGCAGGGAAAGCGTACATGGAGCGACATAACCAAGTGGCAGGCATAGTGTACAGAAACATCTGTGCAGAATATGGACTGGAAACCCCAAGATCAAAGTGGGAAACACCCCCAAAGGTGGTGGAGAACACCAGAGCTAAGATCCTGTGGGACTTCCAGATCCAGACAGACAAAATGGTAATGGCGAACCAACCAGACATTGTCGTAGTGGATAAACATCAGAGGAAAGCCGTTGTGGTAGATGTAGCAATACCAAGTGATTGCAACATCAGGAAAAAGGAGCACGAGAAACTAGAGAAATACCAGGGCCTCAGGGAAGAACTGGAGAGGGCCTGGAAGGTGAAGACCACAGTGGTGCCTGTGGTCATCGGGGCCCTCGGGCAGTAACCCCCAAACTGGAGCAGTGGCTACAACAGATCCCAGGTACAACATCAGACATCTCAGTCCAGAAATGTGCAGTCCTTGGCACAGCCAAGATACTGCGCAGAACCCTCAAGCTCCCAGGCCTCTGGTAGAGGACCCGAGCTCAGAGGATAAGAACCACCCGCGGTGGGTGAGAAGGGAATTTTATATATATATATATACATACATACATACATACATATATACATACATACATACATACATACATACATACATACATACATACATACATACATACATACATATACACACACGTACACACACACAAATGTCACTGCAGGTTTGCAGCAAATTATTGTTTAAAACTTAGTGACAAAATCATGTGTGAAGAAAGTCGAACTAATAATAAACATGTTTACCCGATAAAGCAGCTCACCTTCTCAGCCGTAACCTCAGCAGTCAGGATTCATCTGCATTAATGCTTGTTTTTGCTCTGGGGATCGACGGAGTTGAATGAATTTGTTGGCTGGGTGGGAGAGGAAGGGATCTCTCTGGAGGTCGAGGACACGGAACTGGAAGTGGGTCTGGACTACAATACAAGCCAACAGCAACATAACAGCCATGTCCCTCTCATAACATGAATCTATGTAGCAATGATAATTTTACTCAAGTAAAAGAAAAAGGTACAGTTCAGTGAAACTACTCTTATAAGTGCCTTTTTTCCAAAAAAGTTACTCAAGTGAATGTAACCAGCACTACCCACTTTTGAACATAACACTAGTTGGTCACCTTTTAACTAACAGTACCTGGATCCAACAGCATTAATCAACTCAGTCAGTTAGTTTGGGAGAAACAGGTTACGACATGTTAACAATGGATTAAACAATTTTAATTGCTGAACAAAGTGACAGAAGGCACAGATGCTGAATCAAATCAAAGTAGGAATAACATCGTTTCCCACTCTGAGGTAAAAATAGTAAACAGCGTCCAGTCCAGGGGGCACGGCTGAGTCTGAGCTGGCCCAGGCCCGCCCATGTCGCCGGGCCTCTGGGGTGGAACATCAGTGGTAATTAGTGACCTGTTCCTTTAAGAATGCCAGGAGGAAGACAAAGAGAACATAATGTTTGGGCTCCAAAGAGGCATTAGCTGAAAACAATGCGTCTGCAAGGCCCAAGCTGGAATTTTCTACTGTTTATCAAAAACGCGACTTTCAGAAGCTTTTTATCTAATTCAGACACTATTTTAATTTATTTAGTTATTAGTTCAAGTCTTTTAAATCCATAGGATAATATGAAGGTTAGAGTTAAAACATTTCTGATTCTTTTGCACAGTCAGCTGACTGCCTCTCCACACTGAATAGTTCATGTAAAGCTATTCTTAAGTGTAAGGTTTTCATTCTCGAACGATAGCAAGTTGCCAGAAATTGAATACATGAAACTAATTTCAAAAAAGCTTGGTACCCTGACACACGACACGCCAAGACGTTATTTTTTATTTCTACAAAGTGAGTCAGAAAATGACCAAAGAAACTCTATTTTGATGCCAGTTCCATCTGTGTCAGCAAAAGTGATTCTCATAAAGCGTTTTTCAGAAAAGAAGAGCAACTTCTGCTTCTATGTTCATGAAGGAAGTTAAACGCAACTAAAAGTATTTTATTCTCGAAGGAATTCACCAATATTTGCAGGCTTTTATCTTTCTCTTGTCAGCAGAGCTAGTTGAGCTTAAATAGATTTGTTCTTAAGACAAACAAATCCATTTAAGAAAAATATTAAGACATATTCACTACTCAAATTAATATGCTGTTTTTTGGTTCCGATTCCTTTGCTTTAGTCACGTTTTCAGTTCAAAAATTAGATGTGAAACCTGTGATTTACTGTTGTGTCATTTATGCAACATAAAACAAATGATTAAACGACAACGAAGGTAAACAGTCACTTATACAGAATAATACATTTAAACATAATATACACATAAAATATAACTGTTAATGAGATTTGTGTTCCTTTCATCTCCACTTGTTTATTTGTATGTATTTTTATTTACAGGTGGGCAAAATGTAGCTTTTTTTTGTGTGGGTAAAAATACGATTGTTTCAATAAAATCAAGCCGCACAAATATGTGCAGTGAAAAAGAAACATTAAACGACACAAGTTTGAAGCAAAATTGTTTTGTAAATCTTGAGACACAGAAAAATGTATTCTGAATAACAATTGCAGTATTTCAGAGAAGAAAATATTCCTTTCTGAGTGTTTCAGAGAAGCCGCAAAATTAAAACCAACTCTCTGTGTATTAGTGAAGCGTTAAACTGCTCTCCGTCACTTAAATTTATGGAAACTCTCGTTGCCGTAGATGTCCTCTGCTGTGATGTTTTCATAGTCAAGTTCGTCTTCATCCACATCACTAAAGTGACGGCTGGCGTGTTGTTGCTGTGACCTCATCACTATGGAGTCGTGGTTCTGATACACCTGAAGGAAACAGCAGATCACATTTCATCAGCACACGATGCGACAAAGACGATTTCATAAAGACGCTTCGAAATACACAGATGTGCACTGCTGTAGTAATGCTTCGATCTTTGTCCTCGGTTTCACTTCATCTGAAAACATCTGAATGTTGTGAAAAAGTTCAATATTTTGTCAACCTCTCATTGCAGAAAATGAAAGTCACACAGCTCAATTACTCATCCCGTGAAATATTTTAAGCCCTTTTTTCTTGTAAATGTTGACTATTATGGCCTGCAGCGGATGGAAATCCAAAATTCAACGTCTGAAAGAATTAGAATGTTGTGAAAAATGTACGACATATTCTTATAAAGTTGAGTGGAGGGAATTTTTAGACATTTTTGGAAAAATGGTGCTGCGGAGAAATCTCAACTTGACTCGACAGAGAATCTGAGGATGACGGCAAGGAGGATTTCCAAAGAAATGGAGCTCATCAAACATCCAGTGGAAACATGTCAAAAGCTGGTCAGCAACTTAAAGTCAGCTTGGCTGCTTCAATGCTAAAAGGTTTTCAACCTTGTTAATAAGAAGAGTAAAGGTTTCCCACATGGTGTGTTTATTTGAATGTAAATTAAAGCATCTAAATTATTTTGTTCAAAACTGACACACAGTTCACACTGTTTCATTTCTTGTCAGCAGCTAATTTTGTGATTGTCTGGGAAAAGCTGTAGAAACAAAACCTGCCAGAGGTAATAAACACTTTGGGTTTACAGTTGTATATAAAATAGAAGTATGATTCTGTCGGTAAATATTACACACTTGTAACACTTGTGGTGATATCACTAGCGACTTTCTGATTGCAATATTATTCATAATCACTTCCTGAAGTATGAAACGCAGAAAGCCAGCAGCAATCTCATAAACCCTTGTCTTTAATATTCAGGTGATAATTGGAGAGCGTGTGCAGTTTGTTTGTGCGGCCTCTCAATATATCAAACACACACAGTACCTTCATCCTGTTCCTCTGATGCTGGTGGTGTGGTAGTAATGCTGCTCTGATGCTGATGCACTGTTACAGAAAATAAAACAACTCAATTTTAACACATTGTATTTTTTTTTTACCGTGATCTTTTGTCTACAGTAGCCAAACATCTCAGCACATTCAGGTTAAGTGAACTCTGAGCATTGAAATTTCCACACATGGTCAGATGATCTATGAAAATAGAAAACCAAAGAGGAAAAAAATAACACAAAACATGTCAACACAAATGCACAGTTTCAAACCAGGAGCACAGTGAAAGCATAAGATCCTCTCTGCCCCGTTTCCTCATGTTTTTCAAAACCTCACCGTCTGCGACAAGATCGAAAACTTTGAGGGCAATTGAAGAAGGTCAGACATTGTCATTTGCTAAACTTACCATTCCTGCTGCAACAGGGAGGCCTACTGAAACCGTTCTCTCTGTTTTGTGTGTGTGTGGCCCGGTCTCTCTGTTTTGTGTGTGTGGCCTGGTCTTCTCACCTTCTGTCATGATGCTAGGTGGCAGAACCTCGAGGTTTTTTTCTCCTCTGGCATTTTGTTCTCCTTTTTCTGTCACAACCAAGAAGTAAAATGAGGCCAACTATGTAAAAAAACAAGAGAAAAATGCAGCTCATGCTGCAGCATCAAGGTCGACAACAATCAATCGAGGACATCCGTGGCATCAATGTTAATGGATCTAAACTGTACATCATAATTTATGACATATTTTAAAAAAATTTATCAAGCTTATCTAATTTTTGATGATGTTATATTTGTCACCTGTGGGGTATTTTTTGTCAATTCTACCCAGATTTCTTTCATTAAGAAATGTTCCACTTAAAAGAATTTGAGGTAAGGGTTTCATCTCTCACCTTTGACCTCCAGCTCAAGGGCAGAGAAAACATCAAATCCTGAGATTCTCTGGACTCCACAAAGATACGACCCAGAATCCTTCAGGGTCAGACTGGAAATGGTCACTGTGAATATTCTTGACTTCCTGTCATCAGAGAGTCTGAATCGTCCATCTTGTGTGTTTCTAGAGTTGATCACTGCCTGCTGTCGACATGTGGAGGGCCGGTTTCCTCTGCAGAAGAACTTCAGCTTGTCGACAGACTGAGAGTCGTACGGACAGCTGATGGTCACTGAACCTTCCTCAGTACTTTGGATTTTATTCGTCGTGTTGCAACATCTGTCTGACAGGAAGACAAAACTGTTTTCTACAGCAAAAGTTACAGAAAAATGCAATTCTAAGAAGCAAAGAGACAGAAATGTAGAAATCTTTGAAAACTTTGACGTACGCGTCCAGGCCAGAAATAGTAGAATGTTCATATCATATGTTTAAGTTAACAATTAAATACTGAAATAATATGACAGCAAAAAAAGCACAAATCTCTTATTGTATTGTTGTTTCATTTGAACTGAAACAAATTTCTGATCTAATACAAAACATTCAAAATTTTGATGAAGTTTCAAAAATGTGCTTCAAACAATATGAGGTAATATTTTGCTGTTGTTCTGTTTTAGGCAATCTGTGTTCAGTCGTATCAATCTTATTCTCTTCTATGTGAATTTTGTTTTTAAATCATGACTCATTTAAGCGTAACACTCTCCAGCTGCCATCTTTGTGCTTTATTCAATCAAAAACATCTTATGTCTATATTTCAGCTGCTGTTGTGGTCATAGTCTTGTTCAGTTCGGCAGCATAACTGATCAATGAATTATTTAAACAAAAACAGGAATCAACGTGGATCATCCATAGGTTTTTTTTTCTTACTCTCCTTCTTCTTCTGCCTTTAATTTGTTGCTTTGTCTTATTTCTAAGGACAATCCGTTCAATGTAGAAATGAAATTAGTAGAAAAGTAATTTATCATTCCCGAGTTTCCACCATCCACCTTGACACACACCGACCTCCCTGGATTCAGCTTTTTTCTCTGCATCTACCAGTGAGCTCATACTTTATCATTCGTAGGATTAAGAGTTTGATTATTTACCTGCTTTTACGTCCAGCTTTACTTCAGTGTAGATGTCTTTTCCTGCTCTGGTCACTCCACACCAATATTCCCCGGCGTCCTCCAAACGAAGACCAGAGATGGTCACTGCGACGACTCTTGCTCTTTTGTCGTCGTAAACGGAGTATTTGGTTTCATTTTCTTGTGAGGTCTTGATGAGAAAATCACTGTAGCCACAGCTGTTCTTACACAGGTACTTCTGGTATCTCTCATATCCTGGATCGTATGGACAGGAAACCGTCACATCGCTCCCCTCGTATCCAAACACACGGATCAAACCTGCGGCGCCGCTCACACAGCTCAGAGCTGCTGCAGAGAGAAGACAACATTAACTGAGTTTTCAAGTATTTTCTCCTCTTTAACATTGTGTATAATTTTTTATCATTTTCAGATCTGTTCCCATGAAATAAATGCAATGAAAAGCTTGTTCTTTTTCTAATTTTTTTAATCACCTGGCAGAAATATTTGTTTTAAAGAAACTTGTTTGGAGAAGATAAATCAACACCCAGCAAGACAATTCCTCAAAATCAAATGTTATAACTTACTGCACAACATGAGCTGCAGGTTTTGAAGGTTCCACATCGTTGGTGAAGACAAGAAACTGAAGCAAAAACCAGAACAAACAGTAGTGAGAAATGTTTCTGAGGAAGCAGTGAGTCAATGGAGCAAACAAAACATTCAGAGCACATTTGGCAGATTTAAATCAACAACTGAGCCGATTTTACTTGGTTTTGCTCCAGAATTTGCATGTATTTCACTCTTTCAGAGTCATTTCAACAACAGATTGAGTTGCTTTCACTCTTTCAGCTGTTAGATGTCAAGAATCCACAGGTGGTAATCCAGAGCAACAGCATCACCTTGTGGCCACTGCGGCTTTTATTCATGTATTATTTATTATTTTTACTGTCGGCTGGAATTAACGAGCCCATGAATGGAATATTGAAGCAGCTATTTCTGTCGTTGTACCTGAATGTTGCAAACAGGAAGTTATTAATCATCATTATTCACACACACACACACACACACACACACACACACATACACACACACACACACACACACACACACACACACACACACACACACACACCTACTAAGGCATGCTACTCGGTTTTACTGACATCGTGGGGATTCCTACACACGTCTACATCCCAGAATAACACGCGACCCAAACTCTTGAAATGCCTCTGAAAATACAATCATGAAGCACTTTCATCCCTAAAGCTTCCTGAATGACCCAAACCAAGAACGTCTGGGTTCTGGAACTCAATAAAAGGATGTATAAGTTCATACATAGATCTCTCTTCTGCTTTTGTTTCCTATGTTTGGTAAAATAGTCACAGCAGTAAATTGTCTGCGAAAATAAAAATAAATAGAAAAAAACATGAATAATACATGAATAATCATGATAAATGAATAATAATTAAAAATAATGGTGGATAAAAGCTTAAGACCAAATGCAAAATTAAATCATATACAAATCTATTAATCTCATGTTAAATAAATACAAAATATTACTTTTATTTAAGTATTTTATATCAGCTTGAGTTATGCAGAACTGATCTGATCATTGCTATGGAAACGATCAGAAGCAAGACGTTGCGGCTGAAGTCCAGTGAGGTCACTGATGAGGTCACTGATGAGGTCACTGATAAGGTCACTGATAAGGTCACTGATGAGGTCACTGATGAGGTCATAGATGACATTTACATCACAATAGATCAAAGAGGTTCTGATGCTTAAAAGATTGAATCTGAAAGCATCAGCCAGAAGAAGATACTGGAGCATCAGAGTAGAGCATCATCATTACACAGCTGTCATGTTTGGCCTAGCTAAAGCATTCGTCCCTTTTCTCATCCCCCTCGGTTGGGGAATTGGCTACGCGGTTACCACCAGCATGCAGAAGCTCACGGACCAGTACTTTTCCGGGAAGGATTCGAAAGAAAACGCCGATCAACGTGGAGAGGAGGACTTGCTCTGGAAGGGTCCAACACCCACTTCCACAACAGACCGACCCGAGTGGGACCTCGGCCTCTATCCCTTCAAGGACCGTCCGTACAGAGGACGACACCGCTGCCTCTGAGCAAACCTGCCGGCTGGGGAGGTTTGCTCAGAGCAGACAACTGGTGTTGTGGACTCTGTAACAGACAGTCCTGAGGGGATTCCGACTGTCGACGAACAAACTGACCCGGCCGGGGAAGTTTGTTCAGAGACGGCGGAACATGAGGGCGAGAGCGCGGTTGTAGAGAAGTCTCCCCCGGCTGGGGAAGACTTGTCTGCGACTGACCTCGCGACCAAAGCTGTGGCTGACGCCACAGAGAAAGCTTTGGTTTCCCTGGTCCCATCGTTGGCCCTTCCTTTAAATTCTCCTCTCCGCTCGTCTTACACAGGAACTTTTCCAATAAGATGTTCCCTGGCCGAGGAAGCTCAAAATACTCTGTCTGCAACAATTTCCGTTGGCCTAGAGATCGATTGTCCCCCGGACACGAAAAAAGAAGAAGTCGGCTCAGCTTTCCCAGGGACAGAGGGGACGGCATTGGTGGGCCATGGACTAGCGGACGATGGACTCCGCTACAGCTGGGTGGACGCTGCTCTCCAGAGCGTCCTGAACCTGGGCGTCACACGGAGGTGTCTCGCTCAGGAAAGGGACTTTCTGGAGGCTTCGTCCATCCCCAGTTGGACGAGGCTCATCCTCTCTGCGGTCCGTGACCCCGGCAGACATTTTTGTCCGGAGGACCTTTCCCCGGTTGATGGAGCTGAGGGAGAGGTGTCAGCCATCGGACCTGGGAAGGGACTTGGATATAAAATGTTTGTTGGAGTCGTCCATGGTCTGGCTGGACGCTTTCGGAAGTGCCACAGATAGGGAGTTGTACAACAACAACTCTTGTTCTGTCTGTGGCACGATGTTTCTTGAGCTGCTAAACAACGGCTCCCTGATCTCCCTTCCACCGGTGAGATTTCCAGCCAGCATTGCAACGCTCTTGTACTACTGGCTGGATGTGCGGGGGAAACGCCGTTGTTCAGTGTGCGAGTCGGCCTTGGAGAGAAAGCACTGCCTTACTAACAATAAGGTGCTAGTGTTTTTCCTCCACAGGCTGACCAGGAAACACCGGATAGTTTCCAGTCAGGTCGTGGATGTGCCGGCCAAATGCAAAGGTGGTACTGAAAGGTACCACCTGTCTTCCGTTGTTTGTGGGGGATCCGAGCCGACCCACTTCTACACTTATGTAGTGAAAGGGGGACAACTAACCAAGGCCACAAACCAGAACGTCTGCAGTGTGGACTTCACTGACTGCACTGAGGACATTTCCACTAATGGATTCATTTTTATTTACGAAAAATTGTAACATCTG